GCTTCTGGCAGCCAGCGCTCCGGCCAGTAACGCTCGGGGTCGGGCGAGAAGTATTCCGGGTCCCGATGGATGACGCGCGGGGTGAAGTCGATCGACGTTGATTCGGGAAGGTATCTGTAGTAGGTTTGAGTAAATGGAGTAGATAACAATAGGCGCGACTAACACTCCAGCAATATGCATGCCTCCATGGCCCTTAGGGATGCCACGAGAGACGCGTGTCTGCACCGGGGGGGAAACGCGCAGAGTTTCGTTTCTGCATTGGATTCGATACCGTTCAGAAATTGAACAGGCAAAGTAAACTTGAACCACTCACATGCACGCATTTAGATACGGCAGCTCTGCCAACCGCCCAGAATCGTGCATGTCCACACCATCAATATGGAACGTCGCGTCGATCTCGCGCTGGAGTGTCTTCATCATGTCCGGGTACATGAGCAGCGAGAAGACTGTGTTGGCGAGTGTACTGGCGAGCGTGTCGGAGCCGCCCACGATGCCGGTTTGCACGTCGTTCTCGATCACCGCCCTTGTGGGCTTGGGTTTATTTTCGTCTTCGATGTTCTCTCCGGCCTGCGCAGATGGTCAGCGCTTGGGGAGACAGCAGGAGTTGAGGAGACCTACGATGTAGTAGAACGCGTCCTTGACTTTGGTCCCTTTCGCCAACCGATCGTCAACTGCCTTGATAGCGAACCGTACAAAGGTGTTGATTTGATGGGTGCATTGTCTGCCCCGGGAAGCGCCAGCATGACGGGCGTGAGCCACGGCAGATAGTACAGCGTGGCAATGACACTGGAAGAATGTCAGTTGGTTTTAATCATGGACGCGAGAGGAATCAACACACGGTGCGAAGTCCTCTATAATCTTCCAGTGGCCACCCTTATCCTGGTCCTCCAGCATGTCAAACGCGCCACCGAAGCTGTTCAGTGGATTGGGTTAGATGGATATGCAATATTAATCGCAGCCTTGCACGTACAACAGGTCGCCCATGAAATCGAATCTGGAAGGCGAAATAGGATCAGTCGGATTAAAATTACATTGAGGTCGAGATACGTACGTGAAGTAGCCGAACCATTTACCGATATCAAGCACGCCCTCTTGCTCACCGAGCTTGTTGATCAACCGATCCACGCGCGGGAGCAGAAACTTGTCGGCTTCCCGGATAGCCTTCGTCGTGAAGGCGAGCGCCCACCGCGCTCGGCGTTCAGCGTGTACTTTAGTGGGCTCGGGATAGATGGCGGCGTAGGAAGTCATGATACTTCCGGGAGTGTGGACAGTCTCTGCTGTTGCGTAGCCTGGAAAATAAACCATCAACACCACGTCGTGAACCGCATGTCTTATGGACGCACCGATCGAACGTGGCAGACCCTTGATGCCCATGCAAATTTTCGCCGCCTCTGCGTCTGCAAAAGAGACCTGGTCGCTTCCTGGGGAAGGGAAAGGTTTGTGCACGCTTCCCCTGGAATCCGTGGCCACGCACCAATTCTGACGACCTTGCCATAGCGCTTGTGCAACTCCTCCATGAGTACGTTGCGCCGCCCGCTTATGGCGTGGTACGCGATGACCAGGTTGGAGGTTTTGAAAAGAAGCGGGCCGGGGATGTGTGCGAGCGGATGCATGGGGGAGATACGATAGGCGACGACGGAGAGCGTGAGCATTGCAAGGTGGTTCAGCACCAGCAGTGGGACAGCGCCATACGACAAGTGAAGGCTGTAGGCGAGCGCGGCTGGTGGGGCAAGGAAGAGGCATGCCCAGATGAGCGGGTGGTGCAACTCAAAGCGATTAAAGACCAAGTGGGTCAGCTGTAACAGCGAAAAAAAAGTGAGTCTAGATGTCGTCGCGCTTGCGTCAAGCCATAGAAGAGGGATTGCGCACCACGCCGCCGAGCAGAACCAACTTACCAAGGCACTCTCCTGTGATACGTATTTCTCCATGGTGGGGGGATTGGTGGAAGGATGAACGACAAGGTCCTGGTTTTGTAGGGGAAGTCATTGGAAACCGCAGAATGCCGATCAAACGCGATCCCCTATCTAAGCGTTAGGATGGGGATTCGTTGAAATCAACCGGCGTTTCAAATTTGAACCAATTGATTTGAACTGTGAAATCGACGAGCAGTGAGGTCCCGCCCGTGCACACAAGCACATTATGTACCGTAGAAGTCTCATCAGTTTGAAGAAGGGGGGCACTCAATCGGTGGTCACTACAATGAACGAACGAACTGGCGTAAGGCTCCAACCATTTAGTTTTCGTGTATGGATCTGCTCAAACTAAACGGAAACGGTTAATAAACAGTTTTAAACCGTTTAAAACAGTTTAAAACGGTATTTTTCGCAGAGATCACCCAACAAGGGGCGGGCAAGGTGAAAGACTCACCGCTGTCACACGCCAAGTGTCCTTTCCCTAGTATTCGATCACAGACTGTCATTGTAGTGAGTCTTTACGGGTCGGGAGGCTGCACGACACCAAGATTCATATGTGGATAGTGACAACGGGTTGAACTCACTACATACCGACGCCGGGGCCCGGAATAGCGACCCAGCAAGAACTTCACCAGCCATCTTGGAAATGATCAGAGCTTGTTTCAAGTTGCCTGTTGGGATCCAATAATTTCGGCGTGCGGTTAAGACTTCACTCACATAATTGGGTTCAACTTGGCCTTTCAGTACTAGTGTCCAACTGGGCGACATTTGGTATCGACCAAAAGGTTCTCAAACACATATTTGAACCTTCACCGTGATACTGTGTATAGCACTAGTGATATGGAGGGCCAACGTTGCCCCCAAGCCCCACAGAAAACAGGTCAAATCTGCCCATTCGGGGGTGGTGCCGTTGGTAACCGTTTGAACCGTGTAAAACGGTTTATAAACTGTTTGAGGCCCTGGGCAAATTAAATGGAAACGGAAACGGTTAAAACCGTTTGAAACTGTTTATACACGGAAATGGTTGGAGCCTTAAACTGGCGTGCCTGATCGATGTCGCAATCAATCATCAATCATCCCCCTTGATCTTGTATGTCTGTTACTTACCGCTAGACTTAGATACCGCTAGACTAGGGTACTTGGACGCGGAGCAACCGGCCCATCGTCGGATTCGCGATGACTGAATGGGTAGAACCTATCTCGTTACCCGCCAACTGGATCTATGGAACCTATATCCAATCACCGGATTCGCGACGACTTTTGGCGAAATAACGAGAAACTTCTGGCGGGATAACGAGAACCTATCTCGTTATGCCGCCAAAAAAAAAACCGAACCTGGAACGTTATATTTGCAAGAGCTCGCGACGCAACGCAAACTGGGTTTCATCATCGCTGAACTGTATACGTCGTCAAGCCACATATCAGGAGCAATGAAATGGACGATGCACCGAGTTGATTCCCCGGGAGCGCAATTCGATCCCCAGGCCCCCACAACGTTCTTGTAAGGCCAGGAAATCGGGATGGGTGGTTGACCCTATCCAAGTAAAAGACCTGAGCTTCGGGAAAGTGTCCAACTGCTGCGTTAAATACGTAGCAGACAGAATCTCTCTCAGAGGCGGACGATAGGATGCCGAGGATGCAACTGGGTCGGGGGTCGTGTTTGTGACAGCCAGCACTGTTATGGTTCTTGGTATCGCGGCGACCAGCTCGTCCGAGGGGATGGTTTCGCATTCGAACCGCTCGAGCAGTGTGCAAAGCGAGAGGACCTGCGTATCCTTGAGCTTGCCTGGCGCCACGAGGGAGCGTAAATGAGGGCCGTGAGCAGTGAGGACACCGTGCAAATCTGCTGGTGTGGCCGAGAGCGTGTGGCCGTACAACTGTACATGATCCCCGTCCGTACGGCCCGCAGTGAGAGATGCGAGGAATGTGCTGGTATCGGCGACCCATTTCGAGTTAAACTTGAACGAAACAAGTCCTAAGCCGAGCGGCTGCAGAATAGTGCCCGGCATCATGGGGATGATCTGGAAGGTGTTGGCGGTGATATCGAGCGCTCGAAGCGCCGGGAGGGTCGCAATGAGTTTGATTACATCTTGCCAGGGTGGAGGGTCCACTGAAGAGATAGGGCCACTATGATCTGCATTGATACGCAAGGATCGGATACCAAGCCTCGAGTCCCGCAGGCGGGCGAGCTCTATGTCGCTGAATCTGCACAATATGCACAGTAGATCTAGTTCCCGTAGATTCGGCAGATTGGTGAGCATAGAAAGGATAGCGGTCGGCCTTGTTGACGAACTCGGTCGTAGGCGGAGACTGAGAACGTTCTGGGCGAGCCAGCGCGATTTCTCTGTGTCTCGGGCGATGGTTTCGAGGAATGAGTTGGTTTTGTCAACGATTCTCGACACGATCACTGTGCCGTGCGGACCGACGCGACCTTTCAATTGGATGACGATGCTGACGCGCCGAAATAGCAGCCGTTGAGAGTGGGTGGACCAGCTTTTGCAGACTAAGCTACAAGACAGCAGAGCGGTCTGGCCCGGGAGACGATCACTGTCAACGGGGAATGCCAACGGGACAATCAGAGCATCCAGGATCTCTAGGACGAGTTCTGGGGATGTCTTCAGCATGTAGACGACCTTTCGACGGTGGTGGTCGAGAACAAGAGCAGATTGTGATGGATGGATCATCAGTGTGTAAACATCTCCGGGCCGGCGGCACCCTTGCCGGCTTTATGTGGTTGGCGGCCCGGCGCCCGAAATCAACCACAGTCAGTTCTGCTCCGGCCACTCTGCCTTCTGACTTACATAGTGTTGCGCTAAGCCAGACAAGGGACTAGTACTAGCTGGGGCCCGAACAAATCAATGGCCAGCGAAAGGTAATCATTTCTCGATTGCAAGGCGTCATTCATCCACTACACTTTCCAGCCGTAGTTCCTTCTGTCCCAATCCGTTTCTCGTTGGGTTGCTAACGATTTAGCTACTTCTTCGACTTGAAGCTGCTGTTTTGGGCTACTAATCCCTGACATGACTAGTTCACGGGGACAGTCCGCTACCTCCCCCGGGAGCCGCAAAAATTCGGCCGCCCTCAGTTGCCCCCGTTGTCTAATGGCTATGACGTCAGACTTCTACTGTCGGGTGGATCTGGAGGTTGCGGGTTCGAGTCCCGCCGGGGGTTTTTGAGCCGTTCCGCAGGTGCCAGCATGCTATGTACCTACCACATCCTCTCGCATCATCTTTTTTGACTACGTATTAAACGGTCCGAACCCATCCGTTCCTGTACATAAAGTGTTTCCCACTTGAACACCGCATTTCGCACAACACATCGGTTGACCGAGTTGGAAGGCCTAGGACATAGATTCTGAGTTTCAATTTAAGAAGAGGTTGGAAGAGGCACATAAACATTCATATTGCTCATGCGTACATCTTTTAACACATATGCGGACGGTAAATTCACAAGAACAGAAAAAAGGAGAGGCAAGAAATGGTATTAATATTGTGGCATCTTCTCAGTGCTGCATCAACGGTGTGTCTGGGATCTGAGTTCGGAGAACAGGTATGGGAATAGTATCATTATGAAAACATGCACAAGTGGAGCAATACGGCGCCCGCCTCGTATGACGTGTCAAGTCAGCAAATTCAGTGCGGGCGGTCGGTCAACGCTTAATTTGGGGAACCCATGTTAAGATTCGCAATCCAGATCACAGGACCGCCCTGTGCCCTATACAGCGGGGGTTGAAACGGGGAAACCCGGACGGACCGGTCACTAGTCTCACGGGTGCGGGTTACACACTTTTCGTCTTCCACACCTCGAGTGCCGCTCTTTGAACACAATCCGAATTCATTCCGGGCATTCAAAGTACCAGACGACCAGGCAATCGACTCACGTCCATGTGCCCCGGCTTTCCCTCCCACCGCCCTACCGATTCAGATAGTGGGGCAACGAGGAGCTAGGAGGCATCAGCGAGGCCCGCTCCAACTTCCGTGGAATCTACAATAGCCTGTTATATCTCCGGGTGGCTTCTATTCCTACACGCGTTGGGAAGGTCACGATATCATGCCCCTTTCGCCGAAGATTCAACGTTCGCATCCCTACAGCCAATCAAGTGTCCAGGCATATGAACAGAATCGAGCCGTACCATCTCTATTTCCTTTCCACAATTCCTCGTTTGCTTCCGATGAATGTCCTGGTTGTCGAGGCGGTCCGGTATACTTCAGGTTGACCAGGTATAAAAACGAACATCGTAAGCCCTGTTCAAGCAGTCTCAACCCTCTCAGCCATGTTCACTCGTCTGTCTGTAGTTTCACTCCTGCTTGCTTTGGTCAGCGGCGTTACGATTGACAAGCGCGCTGCGCCTAGTGAGTGCCGCCGTGGATGGGGGGTATCTGGCGTCTAACAAACATACTAGTCGACCAACAAGTGGGCTTTGCAACCTTGAATGGGGGTACGACGGGGGGCGCGGGTGGAACCACTACGACGTTTGATTTATTTTCTTCATACTTACTGTGCTCTTCTCTGAGACGAATACTTCAACTCCCAGGGTCACGACTCTTGCTGACCTTCGTACGGCTGTCACGGGCGCTACCCCCAAGATTGTTCAGATCAGTGGAATTATTACCGGAGGTATGGTGTCGAAATTTCTCGAGGATCGTGTGTAATAATATTCAACGTACCTCCACCAGATGGGGACACCATCGACGTTGGAAATCAGTATGTGTCTTATGTTCACAGCAGCAAAGGCTGAACGTTTCTAGCACCACGGTTGTGGGCATTGGGGCTAACTCCGGCGTTACTGGTGGCGGATTCCGTGTCAAGGTGAGCTACATAAACGTGGTCCGCTTCTCTGCAAGGAACGAGCTTAAAGTCGTGCAGAAAGGAACAAACATCATTTTCCGCAACCTGCAGTTGTCAAAATCCCCCGCACCCACGGACCTTATCGAACTCCAAACTTCTACCAACATTTGGGTTGACGTACGTGCAGCATAAAATTTAATGTCTAGTCGCTGATTATTCTGCTTTCCAGCACAACACCGTACGCCCTGGCTATTTTATTTGGAAGACCAGGAATAAGATCATTATTTCTAGTTCACCTCGGACCTTGACCACGACAAGGACTTTTACGACGGCCAACTTGACATGAACCTCGGCACAGAGTTCGTCCGAATATTAGCGGTACGAACCAGACTGACAGTCGTTCAGCTTCGTCACGGTCTCCTGGAATGTATTCCAGCAGCACTTCAAATGCTCCCTTGTTGGAGGTTCAGACAACACCGGGGACGAGGACAGCGGCCATCTTCGGTCCGTTATGTTTTTTTTTCCCCCTTGATCATCCACTTACTGAGTTACTCAACGCCTCCCACCAGTGTCACGTATCGTGCGTCTCCCTTTCCTCATCGAAGACTTCAACGAGTATTCACTTTTCGTTACCGGGCAGACCACAACCACTTCCTCGAGATTAATTCCCGCACGCCCTCTTTGCGATTCGGCACTGCGTATGTGTCTCTCCGAGGGATGAATTTTTAACTGGGCTGACAGTTCGTGCGCTCAGACACATCTACTCTAACTTCTTCGACAACGTTCTGAACAGTGCCGTGGACTCCCGCGACGGTGCCCAAACTCTGATCGAGGACAACCAGTTCACGAATGTAAGTTTGTTCAACCAAGTAGCATCGATCCGTTGGACTCCACACGCAATAGGTCATCGACCCAATTGAGACCACGCTAAACGGTGGCTTGTAAGCGTTTTCGGTTTCCGGTTCCTGCTCAATAACCTAATATTATTCAAGCGCCAACCAGCTGAACAATGTCTTCACCAACACCACCCTTGAGACCGATGTGAGCAGCCCCTAATGCTTTTTGACTGCAGGCATGTCCTTGATCTTGAGCTGCAGATTGACGTCGGTACCTTGACAACTGTGCCATACACCTACACCGCCGATGCCGCCGCCTCAGTCGCGTCCATTGTTGTGGCGAGCGCAGGTGCCGGCAAGGTCACAGGCCTCTAAAAGATCCTGGAATATGGACCCATTCTCGTAGTCATATGTACACTTCGGTTGACAGTTGAATACTGATACCAAAGAGTGGATGCAACCGCCCCATGTCGGTTTTCTTTCACTTGAAGACTTGTCGCAGGCAGTTCAACTCAAGTTCAACTTCAACTTCAAACTCTGACCATCTTGAAGCAGGAATTATGGACCAAACTTCGTTTGAGGGCAATCCTATAAACTCTTTTTTCATCAAATAATCTAGTTTCGTGGCTATCGAGGTCGCTATCAATACTATTTGGGGAGATGGAATAGTCGACCTGAAGTTTTTCGCAAGGTTGAACTCGAAGTTCAAGAAATATTGTATTGCATCGCAACTTAGACATATGTCACCGTACTCATGCTCCAGTACTATGGCACGACCCCGGCCGGCCTACTGGACATTGAATGGACACCGCGGACAGGGTATCCAGAAAGGTATGGCCGGGTCAGCCGAATAACTTTGAAGCACATCTGATGGCCCAATCCGGCCGGCTTTTTTTCAAGGTGCGACCATACCCAAACCATACCAGGCACAAAATCGTACAAAATCATCACAGTTATGCATGGCACAAGACAATGACGCAAGAGCAACACCGTTGAATTGTGAGTGCAAGGCACACAGCCAAGTGATCCAACTCACAGACAGCTGGGGAGTGCCTGAACTTCAAGTTTAACTTCCACTCACACTTGCCGAAAAACTTCGGATGCACAGCTGAACTTTGGAACCAATGCTCGAATATTTGACGAGAAATAAGGTCATACAATCCGATCGAAACATGGGACTTACTCGTAGTCGGAGTTAGACGGACAAGTTTGAAGTGACGCTGGCACCCTGATTTCTTGGGAGCTGATTTTCGGCGATGGCTGACACGCACGTGACGAAACGCGGTGATGCGCGACGCGTACACAAGACCAAATATTCCCAGGGGACTTACGGACTCATGCATCCGATGCAACGATTTTTCAACGCCCTGAGATTTGTACTAGGATCGACCGAAATACAAATCTCCCTCCTCTCTCATGTTCGGTACTCGTCGTCTCCTTCACGATCCTAACCCTCGCCGCTTGCTCCCCAGAAAAACGTCCAGATCACTGGGGGAACAGCCCATTGACGGTGCCAGGGTCCGTTTCGCACTGGATGCTCTGGATGTTTGACGTGAGGTCATTGATGTCCGCGTCGTCGGAGAAGTGTTCCGTCGCGAAGTCGGTGCCAGAGGCAAAGTCGACAACGCAGTCTTTGTTGCTAATAGGCAAATTTTGTCAGCACGAGTGGACTGTTGGGATGAAAGGGAGTACACACGTAAACGACACGCAGTCATTATCAATGTTCAACTTGAGCGACTTGGGGGAATCGACGTTGGTGCACCCCGCTGCGTTGACGTGCTGCCCGACCGGCGCGGTGGCTATGTCCACGCAGGTACCGGAGCCATTGGTGCCGCTGCACGCTTGGGGGACAAAATCCGCGCGGATGGCCTGGGAAACGACAGACCGCAGTCTCAGCATTGCCTGGGGAGAAGCGAAAGAGATAAGAAGAAATGGGACATACCACGGGGGCGCTGCGCACGGCAGCGAGGGAAAGAACAACAGTGAGTGCGATCGACGCAAACACAGAGGTCAACATGATAGAAGAATTGGAAGTGGTGAAGAAGGGTTGAAAAAAAAAGTGCTGACTCCGAAGGAAATGGGAATGGCGTGTTCTGAAAGCCTCTTGTTCTTTTATAGGTACGACTGCTAAGACGCCAATCGCGGGATTCACAAGGTTGCAATGCATCGTTGATCGTCGTATCTTTGATCGCGAGGATGATCTGCGTCGCTCTGCTTCGATTGGTGTCCATAAGTTGCTGTACTTTAGCCGCTAGCGCAATTCGTCTTCAATTCTCCGAGCGAGCTTGCTCCAGAGTGTCCTCCGAGTCGTTTGGTGGGCTGAATATACTTCATTGACCACATAGCCTGCACAGAACCGGACATGCTTTCGCAATTTACCTCCGGGTTAAGAGCGGAACAGTGTCTGATCGTCGTCTATAGATGAGATGCACAGCCCGCGAAGGTCGAAGTGTTGCTTGACGCCCTAACGGTTCCGTGACTTGGCGAGAGTGCAGGAGAGTGCTTTCATTCGTACCCGACGACGCGGAGGTCGTCGTTAGCGGCCTG